TGAAGAGTAGGAGGTTCAAATCAGGGCTTCACACCAGTTTGTTTCCTTTCAAAGGCCTGCTGAGAATTTGCATTTCCACCCCAGATCTACTGAACCCAATCTTTTAACCCCCAGGTGATTCTTCCTTGAAAACCCTGTACAGGTTACTACGTGCAGTAACCTACTCAATGGCACTTAACAACAATGATTAAAACATATGTAGACAACTTTTAAAAAGTATCATTGTCCTTCTGAGGTTAAATCATAGTCTCAAAGTTCTAGCAAGTATAAGGTTTATTCTTAACTTTTCTAACATTTCTGCCTCCTTCACAGGAACTATGAATGATTTTTCTTTATAATTCCACAGAACTTAGTTTATTGATTGCCTAAGAATGATCTTTATAGTAAGAACAGGACACTTCTTTAAGTGTTTTTTTAATGTGTCAGTGTTTTATGTAAGAGATTTTGCAGGTGTTAATAAGAACTGGCAAAACAGAGGTTTTAAAAAACAAAAGGTTAAAGTTATAATGTAGGATCCCATGGATTGATTGACATATGTACCAAACCAAGACTGATGGGAAAATGTCGCTTTTAACAGGTTCTTTTGGAGAAACAGAAAGTCATTATCATTCATCAGATACCTATCATGGTTCATATGCAGATTCAAAATATTTAATCCAGAAACAAAAGTCTCAGAAATATTATCAAATTTTAGTGTTATGTGACTTAATGTTTTTAAAAAAAATTCACTCCAAGAATCTGTCAAAGATTAGCACTTAGGCTGTCTCGCACAACCAAGAAGAAAACGCAGTTCTGTTTTGATGGAGTGGCATTTAGACAACCATTAATAAACCACTGAAGGTTAGGTAATAGGGCTCAATTTGAAATAATAAATACTGCACACTGTACTTGGTTCTTACTCTCAGAAACATTATTCCTGTTAGCTTCACAAAGACAATGAAATAAATTCCAACTGTTTCTGAAAGACCACTTGTATCCTCATCCCAGTTTAGTATTTATTTGCTTATATATATAACTTTTATGTGTATGGTTAAGTACAAAAAGATAACAGAACATTTGACATTATACAATCTCCAATTTAAGAGTTTTAATAATGTTCTTCCATCTAAAAAATTTGCATTTGAAAATAAGCACTTCATGCCTTGAAAAATATCTGGTGTCACAAACTTAATTAGAGGGATAAATAATTAGTATAATGTAATTTGATTAATCAGGGTCCAGTGAGAAGTCAAAAACCATATCAGTTATATTAACAAAGTGAATATTAAAAAATCATTAACCAGAGATTTAGAGAAAGACCACATTCTGATCCATGCTAAGACAGTTACAAGTCCAATGGTTTGAATAAACAACTCAAAGTTCAGTGAAAAGACATTGATTTAAATTTAGAAAGAATAAGAATTTACCTAGTTTTGATCCAGTTCAAGGCACGTGATTGAAAAAAACTAGATGAGGTCAAGGTTTCTAGATTTTAGCACGAGTATCCCTTGGACTGGATAATTCTTGGTTGAAGAGAGATGCCCTGCATTGTAGCATATTTAGCAACATCCCTAGTCTCTCCCCTCTAGAAGCCTGTACCACCCTCAATTTTGATAATCAAAAATGTGTCCAGACATTGCCAAATGCCCTCTAGGAAGCAAAATCACTCTTAAAATTTATACTAATAGAAGAGGAATGATGCCCAGAAATAGACGATGGATCTCTGTTGTTGCTGGGCGCTATTCAGTCATTTTCAACTCAGTTTTTTTGGTTGCCATCTTTACTAAAGAAGTTCGCCAGTGTTAGTTCTGCAGAGCCACTGGGTGGGTCTGAACTGCTGACCTTTTGATTAGCAGGTGATGCTTAACTGTCTGCATCAGCAAACCAAAAACTAAACCCACTGCCATTGAGTCGATTCTAACTGATAATGACCCTAAAGCACAGAGTAGGACTGCCCCCTTTGGATTTCTGAGCCTGTAAATTTTTATGGCAGGATATAACCTTATCTTTCTCCTCAAGAGCAGCGGGTGGCTTCGAATTGTTGACCCACTACACCACCAGGGACCCTTTAATGCGTTCTGGTGTAGTGCCATAGGACAATCACTCGACCTCAGCAGTTCAAACTCACCAGCCACTCCTTGGAAACCTTACACAGGCTTGTGAGTCGGAACTGACGGCACTTAGCATCAGGGAACATAAATATTTTAGCCTTAGCAATTCTACTGAAATATCAACATCCACAAAACCTGTATTTTAGATCAAATTAACAAATGCAAAGAACCTACTATGGTATGGTATAGATCTATACAGTTTTATAAGGCTAGTCACTAAGCACGTTACTATTCCATTTTTATTGTTGGTGATGGTGGTGTGCAGTGGAGTCGGTTCCGACCCATAGTGACCCTGTACAGGGTTTCCAAGGCTCTAAATCTTTACAGGAGCAGAAAGCCTCATCTTTCTCCCGTGAAACAGCTGGTAGTTTCAAACTGCTAACTTTGAGGTTAGCAGCCCAATTAGCCACCACCACCATGCTACCAGAGCTCCATTGTTAGTCAATTCTAAATCATACTAACCTATATAGGACAGGGTGGAACTGCGCCCCCACTCACCCCAGAGTTTCCATGGTTGTGATTTTTAAGTTGGACTGCCCCATCTTTCTCCCATTGAGTGGCTAGTAGGTTCAAAGTGGCAATCTTTTGGTTAGAAGCCAACCACTTAACTACTGTGCCACCAGGGTTCCCTATATGTTACTGAGTACCTGAAATGTGGCTAGTCTGACACGTGCTATTAAAATGTAAAATTCACAAAAAGAATGCAAAATATCTCGCTGTTGCTATTAAATGCAGTCAAGTCGGTTCCAACTCATAGCTATCCCATAAAGGGTTTCCAAAGAGCGGCTGGTAGGTTTGAACTGCTGACCTTGCAGTTAGCAGTCCAGAACTTATCCTACAGTGCAACACCAGGATGCCACATATCTCATTTGTACTTTTTAATGTTGATTATATACTAAAATACTACTTTGGATTTATTGAGTTATTTAAAATATATTGAAGTCCTGGTGTCTCTATAGGGCTTTCCCTATCCCACTGCGGATTCTTCAATGGGCCACATAGAATTTCCTAGGCCATAATCAGTCCTGGTGTGGTGCTGTAGGATCAGCACTGGACTGCTGACCACAAGGTAAGCAGTTCAGATCCACCAGCTGCTCTTCGGAACCCTATACAGACAAGGTCACTATTCATGGGAACAAACTCGACAACAAATCTTTACAGAAGCAGCTCACCAGGTCTTTCCTCCTGCAGAACGGAGTGAATCACTGAGCTTCTGGATGGCAGCTGAGCACTTTAATCATTGTGCCACCAAAACGCCTTAGGAGAGCAGTGGTGGTGGTGGTGGTGGTATGCTGTGAGATCATTCCCACTCATAGCTTCCCTGTATAGTTTCCAAA